GTCGTGAGCAACAACGCGAACTTTTCTTTGCCTTCATAGATTTAACAAAAGCGTTCGATTCCGTCAACCGTTCAGCGTTATGGAAATGTCTCAAAAAGATCGGTTGTCCTTCGATTTTAGAGTCGATTATTCGCTCCTTCCATGAAGGCATGAGGGCAACCGTAGTTGAAAATGGTGATCGATCCCCGGACTTTGAGGTGACGAATGGTACCAAGCAGGGGTGTGTCATGGCTCCCTTGCTGTTCAACATTTACTTCTCCCTAATGCTTCGAGTCGCCTTTCAACATTGTGTAGAGGGCATTCCAATCTGCTATCGCATGGATGGAGACGTTTTCAACATCAGACGCCTACAAGCGAAGTCAAAAACACAAACCACAATAGTCCGCGACATGCTCTTTGCGGATGACTGCGCTTTGGTTGCACATACACAAAGTGAAGTTCAGGCTCTGTTCAACTGTTTTCACACTACTGCAGAAAGGTTTGGACTCACGGTGAGCAGGAAGAAAACAGAGGTTCTGCACCAAAGCTATCCTATTTCGTCAGATTCTAAAGCCATCGTAACTATTGGTGGCTCGCAGTTGAACGCTGTGGATCGATTTTGCTACCTTGGTAGCTACCTCTCCAACACTACTGCAATCGATAATGAAATTACGGTTAGGATTGCCAAGGCTGGTGCTGCTTTTGGTGGTTTGAGTAGACGACTCTGGAATGAACGGGGTGTGTCGCTGGCTACTAAAATATCTGTCTATAAGGCAGTTGTGTTAACCACAATGTTGTATGGATGTGAGACATGGATTACTTATAGGCGCCATATACGTAGACTCGATCAGTTTCATATGAGATGTCTACGGCTTATCGCTAACGTTAAATGGGAGGATAGGGTGCCAAATACGACTGTATTGGAAATGTGTGGTATCTTGGGTATCGAGGCATTTTTGTTACAGGCACAGTTTCGTTGGGCGGGACACGTTATCCGCATGCCGGACACAAGAATTCCCAAACAGGTGTTTTTCGGACAGCTGTCTTCTGGAGTTCGCCTTGCAAGCGGTTCAGTTTGCAGATTTAAAGATAATCTGAAGGAAAACCTAAAAAAAGTCGGACTGGATTCTAAAACCTTGGGTGTCGTTGCGCTCGAGCGTTCACAGTGGAAGACACGCTCACAAGCGGCAGTTTCCGCCTTTGAGGAGGCGCGCATTGCAGCTCTAGTTGGAAAAAGAGGACGGCGTAAGCAGGTGGCCCGGGATGGTAACAGCACAGGGGTGTGGGTTTGCGGATCCTGTGGTCGTCGATGTTCATCAAGAATAGGCTTGTTCTCGCATCAAAGGACTCATCAATGACAATTCGTCGAACGCGACGATGTATTCCATACTGTGTGTGTGTGTGTGTGTGTGTGTGTGTGTGTGTGTGTGTGTGTGTGTGTGTGTGTGTGTGTGTGGAACCGTCTACTACCAGCCACGAATATCCGATATAGCGGGCCAGAGTCATGTAAGTGTTGCTCTGACATGTTTGCTTTCTTAAAGACAGATTGCTCAAAGCGGTCACTTCGAATGTTTGATAAATTTGAATGAATATAATTATAATTATAATATATTATAATTATATTTTAATTACATAGAAACCAGTACAATTTTTAACAGCATCTATCTTGTACGGAACATAGTTAAACAGTTGGCAAAGACCTCCTTCGTTTGTCTTGTAGTTAAAATTCTCACAGGACGAATCGAACTGGCAGACGTAGCCACATCTTACAATGACGGGAATGCATCTGTGTGTGATGGTGTGTGTGTTTTTTATATGTCTGTGTGTGTGTGGTGTGTGCGTGTGTGTGTGTTTGTGTGTTTTTTATATGTCTGTGTGTGTGGTGTGTGCGTGTGTGTGTGTTTGTGTGTTTTTTATATGTCTGTGTGTGTGGTGTGTGCGTGTGTGTGTGTTTGTGTGTTTTTTATATGTCTGTGTGTGTGGTGTGCGTATGTGTGTGTGTAAATGAGTGTGTGTCAGTGTGTTTATAGCCGTGGCATTTATACAAATGTGTGTGTGTGATTGGAGAAAAAAATATAGAGATGGAGAGAGAGAGAGAGAGAGAGAAAGAGAGAGAGAGAGAAAAAAGGAAAGGTGTGTGGTATGTGTGTGTATTTTTCGTGTCTGTGTGTTACGTTGCAACTTTAAAAATAACTTCAATCCAAAATATTTTTCAAAAAATAAAACCAGTTTAATAAAATAAAACAAACCTTGTATAATTGAGCATGATTTCCTTCAAAAGTTGTCGCTCGAATGCCGTCAACAAAGCTGCACTCCTAATGTTGCTAGTAGTAGTAGTAGTAGTAGTAGTAGTAGTAGTAGTAGTAGTAGTAGTAGTAGTACAAAAATTTATCAACCAATCAGACGAATTGGCCAACCAATCAGACAGAATGAGCGGTTGATTAAAATTTCGTATTTCCCGCTTTTAAAAAAAAATAAAATTTGTTTGAATGAAAATAGCTTTAATTTGTTTAAATTAAACAAGTAATAGTAATAACAAAAGAGAATTAAATTTGTTGAGAAATCTTCTACGGATTAAATCCACTCCACTTTCTATGTTCATATTTATTTGTTTTGTTTGAACTGGGAAACGCCATTTTATTATTCCTATTATTCTTCTATTATTAATAACATTATTGGTTTTTTTGCTCTATTACTAATTATTTGTTTAATTAATTAATTGATTACTCAATTGAATTAGTCATTGGATTTAATTAATTAATTAATTAATGAAAAATTATGAGATTGAAAATAAATTAATTTTGATAATTTCATGAAACGTGTAAGTATTGGTGTGGAGAATGTGGTTTTTTGTGTAATTATGTGGGTGTGTATTCAATTCATGTGTGTGTGTGCGTGTTGTTTGTATTTGTGTGTGTGTCTATGTATGTATGTATATATGTGCGTGTGCGTGTATGTCTGCCTATATATATATGTGTGTGTTATTTTTCTGAAATAATTAAAAAATATACTAAAATAATTTCTTCACTAAAGTCCATTTAAGAAGGTCTTTGACGCAAACAATGGGGAATAACAGCATAAGAATTAAATCAATGGATTTGTCAAAAAGTGTCAAAAGTGTCGTGTGTAGCTTTTTTCATTTTTTTTTTCATTTTTTCGTTCTTTTTTTATTTTTTTTTTGTTAACTTTTCTCTTCAAAAATATTTCAGAAAACCGGGGGGAATAGATCAGGCCATTCGTATATAACTTTGGAAGAAATTGTACCACAGCGTGTTTCATTTTTATCAAAAAGTATTTGGAGATGAAAATTTTTTTTTCACTGTCAGAATGAATGAATGAATGAATGAATGAATGAGTGAGTGAGTGAGTGAGTGAGTGAGTGAGTGAGTGAGTGAGTGAGTGAGTGAGTGAGTGAGTGAGTGAGTGAGTGAGTGAGTGAGTGAGTGAGTGAGTGAGTGAGTGAGTGAGTGAGTGAGTGAGTGAGTGAGTGAGTGAGTGAGTGAGTGAGTGAGTGAGTGAGTGAGTGAGTGAGTGAGTGAGTGAGTGAGTGAGTGAGTGAGTGAGTGAGTGAGTGAGTGAGTGAGTGAGTGAGTGAGTTAGCGAGTGAGTGAACGAACGAACGAACGAACGAATGAATGAATGGGTGGTAGAAGAATAGATAACTAGATAGATAGAAATATAGACCGATCGCTAGTTTGGTAATTAGATTATATTAAATTTATTGATTACCTTTTATTATAATATAACTATAGTAATATGACGTCATAATTACGGTAATATAACGTCATAATTATGTTAATATGACGTCATGATTATTTATTATTTAATTATAATTTATTATAAATAGGGAGAGAGAGTTGGAAGATAGTTTTTAGCAAGTACGACAAACTGGTGCAAACAGACACGAAACTACCTAAAAATATTAGGTCAGTGAAACATAGTGTATCTTTACGATACGATACGATACGATACGATACTATCTATCGATACAATGATACTAATGATACTATGATATCAATGATACTACTGTTAATTAACTTCTAGATAATGTTGATACTAATTTTTAATGCACGGCTAGCTAGCCACATAACTGTATTTCATTCTTACTGGTTTGACGTGAATAATTTTTAATTTCATTCATTCGTACATGCGTCAAAGGATGTGTAAAAACAAGATAGGATTTCACGTCTTCTTGGCCATTTGTGCTCAAGCTTAACCGGCTTCAAAAGCAAACAAAAACAAATCAAATTATTACATAATTACTAATGAAAATGCTAACTTAATACGGAAACAAACAAAAATACAAGTGCAAACCTATGCGTACATACAACCACAAAAGGCGTTTCTATGAGGAGCAAGATGAGTTGATAAAGTCCTACAAAGACCACCTAGAGGGCAAAGAAAATGAAGAGATGAGCGAAAATTACGCCAAAAGAGGTTTCTACCTCGCTAAAATATCTTTTGTGATCAACGCAGTAGGTAGAATTATTATTATTTTTCATATCATTGTTATGATCATTATTATTGACGAAATAATTTGTAACAAAAAATGCGTTTTCAGTAAATAAGGATGCGTGTATGTATGTGTCTGTGTGGGAGAATCTGCATGTTTTACACTTGTCTGTGTGTGTGTGTGTGTATGTATGTGTGTGTGTGTGTGTTCGTGTTTGTTTGTGTGTGTGTGTATGTGTGGATACGAATGTATGTAAGTTTGGCTTTGTGTGTGTGTCTATGTGTATGTGTAAATTCATGTTTATTAAAAATCCTCTTTTATTAACACATGTTGTATACATAAGATCTTATTTGGTTACCTGATTTCTTTCGAATGAACTTGGAGAAAAGGGCCCAGCGTACATATATGTATATATTTATTATCTTTCACGCACGTGTTACAAGCCGTGTGCACTGTGCAGAGCATACTTAGCATATCTACATCACGCTTTACAATATTTCACCATCTTTACCATTTACAACTGGTTAAAATCCTTCTAAACCACCCACCTCGACCCTTATTTTAGTGTCTGCTGCTGAGCAAATCCGTGGCCGCCTACCTGACGAGATCCCTGGCCGTCCTGACTTCCGTTATGGATAGTTTTGTCGACCTGATATCCGGAGCACTGCTCTGGTGGAGTGGGAGGGCCATAAGGAGGGGGGATCCGTATAAATATCCCGGAGGTTGGAGCGGTGACTGCTGTTCTTTGGCTGTTGTTATTGTTGCTGCTGCTGCTGTTGTTTTTGTTGAATTGTTGACATTCAAACACGTACACACGCGCGCGCGCGCCACACACACACACAAAAAAAGTGAGAGAAAGAGAGAGAGAGAAAAAAGAAAGAGAAAGAGAGAGAGAGAGAGAGGGTGAGACAGGTATCAAACAAAACATTTCAAACCCCCAAATCAATCAGGTAGATCGAGACTAGAGCCATTCTCAATAGTTATACTCTCCGTCATAATGTCTATTTGTTCTCTGGCGATGGTTCGCGAGTCTATAGAGACAATCGTTGAGTATGTTTCGTTCGATAGGATGAACAAAACTGGTGTTGATCAATCGTCTATTTTCTGTCTAAACATCTCTGAAATGAAAGAATTCGTCGATAGGCATCATGATTCAGTACCTGATTTTCAGTTGGATTCTATCCTTATCTGCTGCTCTACTGTGTGTTAGTTGAGTTTTTTTTTGGGGTTTAGTTCGATTTCTAAGGTCTGATTTTGTTGATTTATTTTGCCAAAATTAATGATTTATTTCTAAAGTTTTTTGTTGTACGGTCTATGGTGACTTGAAACCAATTTATCAAATGTATGCTCGATTGTATGTTGTTTTTTGTTAGCTACTACCACTGTGTTTGATAAAATTAATCACACATAGACAAAAATCTCTCAATTAATTATCTACAAACATGCACATTACAAACATCACATACTGATAAAATATCACATACATAAAACACACTAGAACTCACAGCCATAATAAATTTAATACCAAGCCGATATTACGAGTCCACAATTGAAACACAAAATCTCACAGTTATAAAGTTAATTTTGTTCGCCGTGTGTCGCGCCAGTCCCTCACCAGTGGCAAGGACATTAGCACAAGATCACAGAAACGATGTAGTTTCGAACAGTGGAGCTTTGGGTTTCGGGTTGCTAGGTTCGTAGATTTTGGAATGTAAGCTGAGTCGGATACATTGGGTGATTTTGGCTGATGAAAAAATACTGTGTGTGTGTGTCGTTACAATAATAATCATTCTTTCCACCGTTACCGTTCTGTTTGTGTGTGTGTGTGTGTGTGTGTGTGTGTGTGTGTGTGTGTGTGTGTGTGTGTGTAACTTAGTCGATAGATGTTTGATCGAACGTTTTGATATTTAGATCTCCAATTTGAAATCTACATAAAGCATTCGTTCAATTATTTAATCAATCAATCAATCAATCATTCATTCAAACATTCCTTCATTCATTCGTTTACACACACACTCACACACAGACACACATACACGCACACATACACACACACAAACAAACAAACACACACACAGCTGCATACGTGTGGAAGTATTTCGATGCAACTGGAGCGCTAGTCATATGCGCGTACATATTCGGCACCTGGTTCGTTACTGGCTACGGTACGTCTGCCTCTAATTCTCATTTCACCACATTTCTACAATTTAATTTAATTTATCAACTAATTAATTTGTAATTTAGTTTATTTAATTGATTTGTAAGTCGATTAATTAATTTTTAATCTAATTCTCTGTTTTGCTAATTTACTGGCTGAAAATCATTTCCTCTTTTGCAGAACAAATGCTCTTGCTAACGGGGTACACCGCCAACCCGGACTTGATAAAAAAATTTCTATTCGTCGCGGTTAACCACGACAAAAGCATTCAGGGTATCAAGACCATCAGGGCCTTCCATTTCGGGAATGAATTTTTAGTGGAAGTGGAGATAATACTACCCGACAAAATGACCATTGACGAGGCACACGTGATCTCGGTGACCCTGCAAAAGAAATTGGAAAATTTGGATGAAGTTGAAAGGGCATTCGTTCAAATTGACTATGAATCTAATTCTAATCAGTAGCTGAATGTGTGTATATTTTTTTAATATATTTTTAAGTTTATTATGGTTATTATTTTTTTATTATTATTTATATTAATCTATTTATAATTATATTGGTGTATATTTTTAACTTTAAAGTATTTAGAGTAAATTTGTCTCGAATTTATGTGTTTGCATTAACAGGTTATAAACTTTGCAGTTGAATTCGCATTTCTGGCATAGCGTAAAATCATTAAGTATGTGTGTGTGTGTGTATGTGTTTTTATGTTTGTGTGTGTCTGTCTATGTATGTGTGTGTGCGTGCGTGTGTGTGTGTCAGTGCATGTGTCTCTATGTGTGTTGTTACTCATTTATTTATGTATATATATTTCAATTTATTTTTTTATAAATAAAATGTTAAATCAGTTTTTATTTATTTTAAATTCAAAAATAATAAGCAACAATTAATTAATTCATCTATTTAATAGTTTATGAGGTATCTTAAATATGCAAGGAATTTAATCAAAGACACACACACACACACATACATACACACACATACATTTTTATAGATATTCATAACATTTAGTGAATAAAGTTATGAGAAAAATTATTTACATTATAGCAAAAAAGTTAAAAAAGTTAACAAATTAACTATTTTATTTACATGTATAAGCTAAAACAGAGGTGGGCAAACTTTGTGCTGTGAGGGCCGCATTGAGAACTATTTTACTTATGAAGGGCCGCACGTGTACTTAAATAGCAAATTTTTTCGACCCGGGGGAGAATTTTTTTATGATTTGGGGCTCCTTTATTTGGTCATATGGTCATTTTTTTGGCAAACAAGGCCTCGTAGTTTGCCCATCCCTGAGCCTAAAATTCACAATTTCTTCAAACTCGAAATGATATCGAAACTATCGCCAATGTTGACGCGGCTAAAAAATTTGCCGGAAGTGTTTTTAAGATCTTTGGAATTATAATTGTTATTGTTATTGTTGTTATTATTAATTGCACTCTCCGAGCTTTCTGAACTCAACCTTACGTTGACAAAATTTTCAAAATTAGTGCTGTAACTGTTGATATACCGGTCGGTATTTTGTCGATTATTATTCGAATATTGTCGGTAATTATTAGCATTCGTCTCCCTGGTATTCAAGTTCCGGTTAATCGGACTCGGCGAAAGTGGCACGTTTTTAATGTTGCTTTTTTGTTTCTGTGGATTTTGTTGATAGTGATATTGATGTTGTTGTTTATATTGTTGTTGTTGCTGATGTAATTGTTGCTGTTTTTGTTGCTGTTTTTGTTGATGTTGTTGTGGATATTGTTGTGGATGTTGTTGAGCTAAACTGGTTGATGTTGTTGTTCTTAAGGACGGTTGTTCATTAGGGCTCGGATTAAAATCCTGCGATTAAAATTTCACAACTTATAAGTAAAATTGCTACAAAAATACTAGAAATAAATACTTTGAATACTAGTTAATTACTCTACTACCTTCCTAAAGACGTCGTTGTAGTTGTCAGTGATTGAAAACTTTTTACGAAGCTCTTTTACGGACGGCAGATTGATGCCGTCATCGTTACAGCTGCCGTCGTTGCTGCTGGTGACCCCATTGTTGTTGCAGCTGCTGGTGACGTCATTGTTGTTGACGATGACGTCATTATTGCTGGGGTTTTTTATGTCGTTGGTGTTGTAATTTCTGTCTATAGATGAGAAATTTTTGACCAATTTTTTTTACGAAAATCACTTAAGATTTATAAATTTACACATATGAACAAATTTTTTTAAAATTCACAATAAAATTTTATATAAATAATATTTAAAATGATTAAAAAATAATATAAAGAATAATAAATTAAAAACAACCGCATGCCAAACCCGAATGACAATAGGGTGAAACTTTCTTAGAGGTTAGAACCAATTGCGCTGATGCTGATGACGATACTACTGGCGATGATAATGATGTCGTTGCTTGGCTTGATGATGATGATGAATATGGTCCCGGTAATGATGATGATAAGCTTGCGGAAACTGCATGGAATGATGAAAAGACTTCCTCTCCATCATCTGCAGATTCGAATGAACGAACGCAGGATGCAAACTGATTTAGCGGATGAAAATCTATAGAAGGTTTGTCTGATTGGTCGTAGTCGTATGTGGAATGATGCGTGGCTTGTTGCCTCGAGTTACCGGGCTCGATTGCACGCCTGGGATATTGTTTTTTTATGTCATTTGAAATTTTATTTTGAACGGTGTTGTGAATTTGACTTTTCTCTGAGAATTTTGTCAAAGTTGATTCTTGGAATGGTTGAATTTTTACGGATTCGACGTTTTCAAAAAGTTTAGTTTGGCCGACTTTTTTGTCAGTTTGAGAGCTTTCACTGATTCGCTGAGCTCGTTTCTCGTACTGTTGTTCATAACTTGCGAGCGTTTGCTTCAAGTCGTCAAGGTCTGCATCCTTGTAGAGGTTGTCATTTGGTGGTTGGTGGTGGTTGGCTGTGGCGGTGGTGTTGCTGCTCGGTTCATAAGTTCGGGCCCATCTATTCGTTAACGAACTTTTCTTTTTTAGAGTTTTGATTGGCTGTGTAGTAGTAACTGTAGTAGTAGTAGTCATATTTATTTCGTTGTTGTTTAAATCAGTTTCAAGTTTGTTGTTGCTGCTGTAAACAACTCCAGTTTTGAGTAAGCCATCCCGACCGACATCAATTACGGTTTCGGTAACGATCAGTTTGAAAGCTTTCTGGCAGAAGCCGTGTTTATTTGAGGCCATGCACATGTAGTATCCTTTGTCACTAATTAACAAATTAGTGAATTCGATTGAGTGAGTGGACCCCCTCTGAGCCGTTATCAGTCTGACGTCACTTCCGTTTAGTTCGATGAGGTCTGCTTCGTGTTTGTACCACGTGACGTCTGTTACGTCATTTTTTAGTGTGTGTGAGTTGGCGTGCGTGTGTGTGTGGGTGTGTGCGTGTGTGTGTGTGTGCGTGCGTGTTTGTGTGTGTGTAATATATTTTAGAAACAAATTATAGAAAAAAATTATTATGATTTGAAACGAAACGAAACACTCGTAAAAATTGAGATTGAAAAATTAATCTTAAAAAAATTAACCAATAGGCGATAAGCCACTCAAACAACATTGGACAACCAATCGCTCCCCTTCTTTTCCCGCTACATCTTTGGGGGCTTCTACGAATCTCGGCACATCCCTATTTCTCTCATCCCGACCGTCGTCAGTGTAGGAGAGCTTGTTTAACCTCTCCATTTCTATGGAGTGTTTGCGTTTGAAGAAGTTGATGTTGTAGTTGTCGATGACGTCATCGTCGTCGTTGCTGTTATTTATATTTGAGATTGTATCTGTTGTTGTTGCTGCTGCTGCTGCTGCTGCTGCTGTTGTTGTTGTGTCTTCATCTTGATATCTGTGTTTGGAGTTTTTCAAGTTTTTGAAAAGAAGAATTCAAGTTGTGAAGGTAAACATCGAAATATGGCAAAGTCAACAGAAGCGACACAAGCGACACAAGCGACAGAGGCGGCAGCAGCTGCAACAATAATAATAAAAAATATAATAAAAACAATAATAATAATTGTTTTTACAGTTATTGGCTGAGTATCGACAACAAAAATTTGACACACACACAAACCTAATTTGATTGGCCTTCGGAAGGAAAATCACAAACTCATTTCTCGGTGTCTTGCAACCACCACCACCATCATCCTCCTCCTCATCATCATCATCACCACCATCTCTTTTGACTTTATCATCATCGTCATCGTTATTATTTCTTTCATCATCAATCCCAGTAGCATCATAGTACTCTGAATCGTCATCATCGCCATGGAAATCCTTAAATTTATTGTTATTGTTGTTGTTGTTGCTGTTGTTGTTGTTGTTGCTGCTGTTGTTGTTGTTATTGTTGTTGCTGTTGTTATTTTTCGTCCTCTTTTTCTTTCTAAAACTTCCGTATCCATCGTTAATACCGAATGGAATTCTCCTACTCATTAGCGCCGAACTTCTTCCCGCCTTTAAAATAAAAATAAGTAGAAAAAAATTATTTATTTATTTATTTATTAATTAAATAAATACTAAATTAATGATT